CCTCCAACTCCTGGGCTCAAGGGAGTCTCCTGTCTCTGCCTCCCAAGTAGCTGGGACCATAGGTGCCCGCCACAACGCCTAGCTACTTTTTTTTTTTTGGTTGCAGCCGTCGTTGTTTGGCGGGCCCGGGCTGGATTTGAACCTGCCACCTTGGCTATACGTGGCTGGCGCCTTAGCCACTTGAGCCACAGGCGCCAAACCATTGCCACAGGTCTTTCCCCACAGCATTTAAACATACCTAAGTGCCCACATACTACAGTGTACTTAATCTCACGACTCCCCCTGCCATGACCTCTCCTTCCTCCCGGTCCAAGTTTCTCAGGCTAGATCTTAATTCTTCATTTCCTATTGACCCTTTTGCTAATTGCCTACCACTTTTTTTGAGACAGAGCCTCAAGCTGTCGCCCTGGGTAGAGTGCTGTGGCATCACAGCTCACAGCAACCTCCAACTCTTGGGCTGAAGCGATTCTCTTGCCTCAGCCTCCCAAGTAGCTGGGACTACAGGCACCCGCCATAAAGCCTGGTTATTATTTTGGTTATAGTTGTCATTGTTGTTTGGCAGGCCCGGGCTGGATTCCAACCTGCCAGCTCTGGTGTATGTGGCTGGCACCTTAGCTGCTTGAGCTACAGGCCCTGAGCCTTGCCTACCGCTCTTAAACTGCGGCTTTTTACCATCCCCAGTTACCTGCAAATGCTAAGTCCCATAAAAACATAGCAGCCATTATCTCCCCAGACCATTCATGTTTGCCTCTCTTGAGAGTTTACATTCCTGGTTTCCTCCTGGTCTGCTTCTCCCGCTCCCTCTGACTCCTTCCATGTGATGCCCCGGCCTCCCCTGGTTAAAACTTCCCAGCAGCTGCACTGCCATTAGAATGTGAGCACAGCTCAAATTTACACACTCCCCCTTCTAGCACAGTCCATTCTCCCACTGCTTTATTCTTTTCTTTTGCAAAAAAAAAATATATATATATATATAAATTCTGCTACCATAAAAACACATTTACAGCACCCACTGTAATATACAAGAACAGGAAAACAATAAGCCACCAGCAAGCTACCTTCAACATGAGAGAAATGAGTGGATAAATTATACGCTGGAATACTATGAAGCCATTAAAAGTCATGCTTAGACTCATGATACAATGTCAAGCATAAAGCAAGAGAATACAGAACTGTTTAAACAGTACACTCTGAACTACAAGAAAAAAAAATAGTAAGAAAGACAATAAAGGGGGCAGCGCAGTGGCTCAAAAGAGTAGGGTGCTGGTCCCATATACCAGAGGTGGCGGGTTCAGACCCAGCCTCAGCCAAAAATAAAAAAAGAAATACTTAAAAGAGAGACAACAAAGAAATATGCCCACGCATGAATGATGCCTCTAGAGTGGTCTTTCCTCCTGCCTCATAACTTTCTGTGTTTTTATTTTTATTTTTTTTTTCAGACAGAGTCTTACTATGTCACCCTCAGTAGAGTGCTGTGGCATCACAGCTCACAGCAACCTCCAACTCTTGGGCTTAAGCAATTCTCTTGCGTCAGCCTCCCAAGTAGCTGGGACTACAGGTGCCTGCCATGATGCCCAGCTATTTTTGTTGCAGTTTGGCCAGGGCTGGGTTTGACTGCGCCACCCGCGTTATATGGGGCTGATGCCCTACTCACTGAGCCACAGGTGCCGCCTGTGTTTCTGTGATTTTAAATATTTCTGTAAGAAGCTTTGATAGAAGGAAACTTTATTTTTTTTTTTT